ACATGTAAACCATTTTGTACAATTTAAATAAGATGATAATAAATATCTAGATCTTAAAAAAGAAAGTGAAGAATGCGACATTTGATGAATTCTTTCGATGTATTCGTTATAAAGGGTTTCACTGTATGTTTGTTGTTCACTATGGTTTGTTGTCCACTATGGTTAATTGTCCACTATGGTTTGCTGTCTAATATGGTTTGTTGTCAACTATGGTTTGTTGTCGAGTATGGTTTGTTGTCGAGTATGGTTTGTTGTCGAGTATGGGTTGTTGTCTTCTATGGTTTGTTGTCTACCATATGGTATGTTGTCTTCTATGGTTTGTTGTCTACCATATGGTTTATTGTCTACTATGTTTGTTGTCCACTATGGTTTGCTGTCTAATATGGTTTGTTGTCTATTATATATGCTTTGTTGTAAATTTGGATAATCTTCTGAAGCACTTAGTTCAAAACTGCAACTTGTTTATAATATCAAACATTTAAATAAGAAATAATTTAGAATTTAGATGGGTAATCTTTGTTGTGGAGTGTGTTAGACTCCGGGTATAAACGTCGTCTTAGTTTTCAGGTAACTGGATTTTTAATTGAAGAAACATCGCTATAAGGATTTTGTAATTTAATAACAAGGAAAATTTTGAGGTCTTCACTGATTTTAGCGTGGTTAGACTCCGATTTTAACCATGGTTAAAATATCTCCGGTCTCTCAACTAAACACAAATCAATTATATTAATTGAAGGAAGACGACTTACATTTCGTTTTGTTGTGGATGAATAACTGCAAATACATTTTCACCGAGGTGTCACCTCTGTTTAAAAAAATTCAAGTGAAATTAAATGATCATTGATCATATGCTGCAAACTTTTAAAAATCCATTTCATATATCTAATCTAATCGTAACCTAATTAAGTACACCTTTAATATCTAAGATTTTTTTTATTTAGAAGAAATTATAGTTTAAATGTTACAATTACATCAAATTGCAAAGATTCATGGATTAAAAAAGATTCAAAGTTTGTGTTCAGTAAGTAAGTAATTCTTTCTTTAATTCGAAACAAAAGCCTATTTTTTTTGGTTCAAAAGATTCATATGAATAAACATTATCACATTTTGTATCAATTATCTAATTGAAATATTCGACAAAATATATTAATACAACTTAGTTTAGCGTTAGCGTTACTGAGATCTAGAAATTCTTTATAGTTCTTTATAGAAGTTCTTTGATCCGTATAATGCGCATGAAATAAATAATTTTTTTGGTATTGATCATATTTAAAGAAATTGTTTCAAGAACAGTTAACAAAGGTATTTATGAAAATTTCGATATTATGACATATGTAACACATTAATCTAAAGATTACATTACACTTTATTTCTTTAACTTTTACAGTTTTTAATCAGAAAAAAGGGTTTGAAATCCTTATTTGTACTTGTGCAAGCTTGGTTTTGTTAATCTTTCTGTTGCATGAAACTACATAGAGAAGTTGAGAAGTGGCAAGGTTGCAGTAACATATGTAATACAGCGTTAAACAAATTCTTCATTATGTTGATATGGGAGGGACATCATTAAAATAATAACTCAAATAATGGAACAGTCCCTTTCGACGCTTAAATATCGTGTCATGGAGATATAAGGCAGCTGGGTAAACAAAGGNATATTATTATTATATTTAATAAAATATATGTTTCGACGTTTTCATTGTAATACTTTATTTCTTTGTTACTCTAAAAGTACAGATTGCTTTGAATTTCTAATATTTAAGTTTAATCTATAAAGTTTACTTATCAAGGTACATGTTGATTTATCCCTGAGTATTCTTTATAAGTTCGGATAAACTCTGTATTCTTATAATTTTTCTTCATTGTTTCGTCAAAATATTGACGGAAATGGAAAGAATTTAGTTTAGTTTGAACATGCTATATTATTGCGAAATGTACGAATTTGTTTTAATAAATAAAGTCAGAAGATCGAATTTTTACATTCACAAAATTGAAAATTACAACATTTTTTATGTTTTTTTTTCAAAACTCAATTTTAAATATAAACTAAAGAAACCAAAATTATTTCATATTTTTCAAATAATTCTTAGCTTTAGTAAACAATCTTTCATATTTCCTAAAAAGTATCAGCCAAAAATTTCATATTTCCCTATAAAATTTCATATTTCCCTACAGTGAAACCCTTAATAACGAATACATCGAAAGAATTCATCAAATGTCGTATTCTTCACTTTCTGATAATGGAATGTTGCAGATATTTAGTTTTTTAATTAAATGATTATATGGAACTCTTTAAAACTGTTCCCGCATATTCATGGCTATTTATTTATTTTCGCAAATACTGAAATTTACGTAATATAGTATAAAACTCATTGAAAAATTGTCAAGACGACATTTGATAAATTCTTCAGATGTATTCGTTATTAAGGGTTTCACTGTATAAAATTTCATATTTCCCTATAAAATACCAAAAATTTCATATTTCCCTATAAAATACCAAAAATTTCATATTTCCCTATAAAATACCAAAAATTTCATATTTCCCTATAAAATACCAATTTTTCCAACTTTTTTCAATGCAACATTTTTAGCACCTCATATATATATAAACAGTTAAACCCTAAATAAGCCATTCATCGAATGAATTGATCAAATGTCGTATTCTTCACTTTCTGATAATAGAATGTTGCAGATATTTAGTTTTTTTTTTAACTGTTCCCGCATATTCATGGCTATATATTAATTTACGCAAATACTGAGACTTACGTGAAATAGTATAAAACCAATTGAAAAATTGCCAAATAGACATTTGATAATTTCTTTCGATCCATGGCTTATTTAGGGTTTAATTGTATTCAATTCATTAACCGCCATATATCTAGCTTTACAGGAGATAATGTGCAAGATTCCGCCGCATGGCGGAGAGGTCCAGGGGTCTAATGGGACCAAGAGGCAGGGTGAGGAAGGTAGAGGCATATCTAAAAAAAAGGTATAAAATATTCTATGGCTGCCATTTTGAAAGCATGCCACCATGGCTGAAAGTTGTGCTAACAATTTGATTATAAACAATCATTGCTAAATTCTGATTTGTTATTCTTTGTTATTAAGATATTTATCAGTTAATGTGTTTAATTTTCCAATAAAATATTCAAATAAACATATTATAGATCTCACATATCTCTATCTTAATGTTAGACAATCTCGAAATCTTCAAGTATCCATGTCTTTACTGTTATGTAAATGATAATTTCAAATCAAAATAAGATTGTTAACCATTAATTTCAAAACCTCTATAAAATGTCGTCTTATACTGGAATCTCCTGTCGGAGACAGCCAAACCAAATTTTCAGCCCGCAAATTCCATTGTCCTCCTCCGACGGAGCTTAAAATATTTCGTTGTTGTGAAATCATTAAAGTTAAGCAAAATATTTTCATAAGAAGCATAAGTGAATTTCGTTAAATATTAGGGAAAGAATCGTCTGGGGATAATAAACACCCCTTTCAAAATCCTAACCGGCCTATTATCCGGATTTATCTAGCGTGTCGCTGTTATCTGTCAACAAAGATCTGGACAAATTTCTTAAAAAATTACGACAAAAACCTATTTTTAACAAAAAAAAAATCATTTATTTATTTTATTTACGGAAAGCAAGATGACGTTTATTTATGAATTAATTGTAAAGGAAGTTTTTTCTAAAATATCTCGAAGGGACTGTAGACTGTAGATGTAATTTCCTATAATATCTTGAAGGGACTGTAGACGTAATTTCCTAAAATATCTTGAAGGGACTGTAGATGTAATTTCCTAAAATATCTTGAAGGGACTGTAGACGTAATTTCCTAAAATATCTTGAAGGGACTATAGACGTAATTTCCTAAAATTTCTTGAAGGGACTATAGACGTAATTTCCTAAAATATCTTGAAGGGACTATAGACGTAATTTCCTAAAATATCTTGAAGGGACTGTAGACTGTATACATATATAGATGGTTATGTTCGACTCACAAAAGCACCAATAAAAGTTTTGTCTGATCAAATATGAATAAGTTATACTTTATATTCTCTTTAAAAGACCGATTATCTTTATTTGCGGTCTCAATTTGATCTTCTGTCTGCAGGAACAATGTGAGAAATTCTGGAAGCTAGAAAAACGCCGATATCTTACAAATTACTGATCAGATAAAGGCCCTCTTTACATGAAATTACAAGGACAGTCCCTTTACAATATATTTTTGTATAAACATATCCAGGTAGGAGGTGTGGTAGGTTTAGGAGATGTAGTTAACCCTAACCTGGATAAAGACTGGACCACTATCCCTGAATATATCTCCAGTGGATGCATGTGTGCTCTTGTCTTTATCATGGGAATCACAATGAAAGGTTAGACAGGGCTTATGACTACCTGGGGCCGCATTTGATAATTTAAACTGCCTATTCTCGGTTCAAAGTTTAACCACCGATTCAAAAATGAAAAATCAGGAAAATTTGAATTGGTTATTCAAATTTGAACCGGCGGTAGGCAGTTCAGCGACCCCGCAAATACATTAAATTCGGTTCCAGGGGTTGAGACTTTTGTAATTTAATCAGACGGTTTCTATCCCATCAACAGTTAAGGCGCAAAAAATCTAAAAAAATAATCTCTTATTGGTTGCTAAAAATATGAGATAATAAGCACTATTAAAAACAATTCCCCATTGTAGAAAGATTAAGAGAATAATTTTAATTATAAAGCTGTTAATTTTCAGCAATTTTTCTTATGAAATATAGATTTTACTAAGACTAGTAAACAAGATTTTACATTTGATCTTAAGAAAATCTAAGTGACATTTTGTGTGCCTTTTTGGTCGACAAATGTGTGCATTATGTATGTATAAAATATATTATTACTTTAGGGGACTGGCTGATGTTCTTTGCTCACTATAAACGTTCTCAGGTGGAACTTTAAAAAATATTAAAACCAAATCTATACGTTTAAAATGAAAGTTTTATATTTTTGTAAAGGAAAACTTTTGTCTCATATCTATTCTTCTTTGGTATTGGAGGATTTCTACACGTAAATATATTTTATCTGTAACAATATTATATTTGAAAAATATCCATTCCCTGTACAGTGTACAGTGTACATATTCCCTGTACAGTGTACAGTGTACAGTGTACAGTGTACATATTCCCTGTACAGTGTACAGTGTACAGTGTACAGTGTACATATTCCCTGTACATATTTCTACAACATTTCTTAACATTAAATAATCCTAAAAATATTGTTTTTTACGTTTTACATTTAAGTTATAAAGAAAAATAATTTAAAATTTTTTTTTTATTATAATCAATTATTATTAACGGCTCACAGAAAAAAAACTAAGAGGAAGCTGTTAAATAATGTTTTATTTTTATAATTTATGGATCGCCACTCAACCCAAATTGTCTAATCCTTAAATCTTTTTAAGCTGATCGTGTAAACCTGTAAACTTTAGGTATTTCATCTAAAAGAATGCATAGATTGAAATATCGAAGGTTTACGACATTGGGTTGCAAAGATTAGAAAATCAGAGTTTGTGTTAAAGACTCAATTTCTTTAATATTCGATATTTGTTTAGTTTAAATACTATGTTGGGAAGAAGGATACCCCTGAGGAGTGGAAGTGCCAACCAAACAAATGGTTGTCAGCAAAGGTAAACTTGAAAGATCAGAGAGTTAACATTTTTTTATAGATCAAACATAGGGAAATAGTTATTGACCCTAAAAAGCCGGGTACAATTTTACACTTGGCGCATGCATTTTTCAAATCTTTGGCTTTGTAGAAATGTACTGTATTGCAAAATAAATTCTTTATTCTTTTTATATATTAGGAAGAAATCCACGAAATTATTGTTGGGTTGTTCTCACTAACAATAGGAAGGTCAGAAAATATTTTACATTTTTTTTTAGATATTTAAAAAGCATTTTAGAATTTTTATTTAGTATTCTATCATCTTTCCTGGCTACCTGGGTTATGAATGGTGGATATACAACTATTTATTATGAATTTGGAAAGTATGGATATCTGTGGTCAATCTTGGAGCTTCCTATTGCTTTCCTATCTACGGTATGTTTTATAAAAATATTTAATTTCTCTCCGGGGGAGGGGACTGGGGATGGGTGAAAGAGCATGCTATACTAATTTTAATTTAGTCCAAATAATGTCTGCAGAATACAAAGGTTTCGGCAATCAACGAGAAGAAACCTTTTTGTATCAAAGAACGAAAGTTTTTTTTAAGCTAGAGGATTTGAGTCTTTGCCACAAACTCAAATTATCTAATCCGTATAACTATGCATTCTGATGGTGCATTTCTTTGATATTTCAAACGTAGATTATTTGATCTAATAGAATTAATAGTTTAAAATATTTAAGTTCTGCAACATTGAATTCAAAAGAGATAAAGACTAAAAAATAAGAGTTTGTGGCAAAGACTCAACTCCTGTGGTCTCAATTTTTGCCCCTGGCAACTTTTCTTTTAACCTAATCTCCCCTCCCATGAATATCTTTAATCAAATGATTAAAGGAAAGTTTTTTTTGCATCTGATTTGAATTAATTAAAATTTTAAGCCATTTTGTCATTTTAAGAATTAGACAGTAAGTGATTGGTAAACTTATTGTAACTCAGTTGAATCGATTTAACTCAGCTCCTGTCCATTTAATAGTTCTCATCATTATTTTTATTTATAGTATTATTTTTAGGATTACATCACCTACTGGTACCATAGAGTCTACCACATGCCGTTTCTGTACAAGGTTAAATATTAAAAAAAAATATAATTAAAAAAAATAATAATTTTGTTTTTAGCATTTCCACAAGCTCCATCACACATACAAGCAGCCAACTGCTTTTTCAGTAACAGCTATTCACCCGGTGGAGTTTTTAAGGAAAATTATTTACCAAGGATTTCTTGTATTTTTATGCAGTCGTCGTCGCATAAATCAATTCAAGGAAAACGACATCGATTTCAATTTGTGATTTTTACCAAGCTTTCAGTGTTTAATTTTCATAAAGCTTGGAAAACAAAACTTAAATAGAACAATCGTCTTCATTGTATTGATATAACGCTGACCACTGTAAGCTGAAGAAAAATGTCTTAACTCAATGTGTTAAAAAATAAATTTAGTTGATTTCCTAATTTAATTACTAACAAGGTTTAATAGCCACATTTAAAAAAATTATTGTTTGTTGTAAATTATGTATAGAAGTGTAAAAATGTTCATAATTTCAATTATTGACAAAATTTAATATTTGGTAATTCTTTTTTATAGTATTCAAGGTATTTACATCATGCCCATGTTTGTTATTCCAATTCATGCAGGTAAAAATATAACTTTTTCTTTATAAACATTTTAGAAAAATATTTTAAAATTTAAAATGTTGTTTAGCTGTTTACTGTGGTATGCTGGGATATATTTACTATCATGGAATCATCGATCATTCAGGAATAACATTCAAGGTAAACTATTTTCTGATATTATCATTTAGCAATTTCTGAAAAATAATCATGAAGAAAGGTTCCAAACATGATTTATGGTCTGCAACTCTGTTTTTTAGAGGCTTTGGTTCCAGCCCTGGCAGCCTGATTGTATTTTCCATGATAATCATCATCAGTACTTTCATGTCAACTTCGGGTTCAACGTAGAACTATGGGATAAGGTAAAAGCAAAAATGCGCAAGTCACTTTTGTAGAGAAATCAAAAATAGAAGTATAAATTTTTCAAAACAACAACATTGAAATCAACTTCCTATGAAAGGTCACTTAAAATTACGTTTAAAGTCAATTTAAAAGAGTTTTTTTTAGAATTGTGAAAATTGCTTATATTGTAAAAATGATATCTTGCCTTTTAGTTGCATGGAACAGCTAGACAGAAGGATAAAATCTACAGGGAGGATATATTCTACGGAACAGGGAAGGATATATCGGAGGCTACCAGGTTAGTTTCTGAAGGATATATTCTACAGGAAAGATATATTCTTCTGAGCAGGGTAGGATATATTAGTGGCTATACAGGTTAGTTACTGAAGGATATATTCTACAGGAAAGATATATTCTTCTGAGCAGGGTAGGATACATTAGTGGCTATACAGGTTAGTTACTGAAGGATATATTCTACAGGGAGGATATATTCTATAAATTATGTATATGCTTGTGAGCAATTATATTAAGCATATGGCATTCATAAAGTATATACGCAAAAAGGATATAAACACAAAAGAATTCTGGCGTTTGACGTTTATTTTTTGCACAAATTAAAAATGACAGTTAAAGCGCAATAGTACAGTACATAACATTCAAATAAAATTACTTGATGAGCAGAAAATAATTATTGGTAGTAAAAAAACAAACGGATTGAAAAAGTTCCAAATTTTATTGATATTTTTTTCCAGAGAAGAACTGATGGAAGATGTGAGAGAGAGAGAAGATGAAAATCCTTTGGCTTATCAGAACAATAAACATAAATTCATTTAGATATTCATTGGCTTATCAGAACAATAAACATAAATTCATTTAGATATTCATTGGCTTATCAGAACAATAAACATAAATTCATTTAGATATTCATTGGCTTATCAGAACAATAAACATAAATTCATTTAGATATTCATTGGCTTATCAGAACAATAAACATAAATTCATTTAGATATTCATTGGCTTATCAGAACAATAAACATGAATTCATTTAAATATTCCCATGCTATAGCTATTGAACTGAGCAATGAACTGAGCACCCCCCCCCCCGCCCCCTCTATAGTATATGTTTTCTGTTTAATGTTTTTGGATCTTATAATTATATATTTTTTATAATATTGCTTAATTTCAAATTTCGCGCGGTTCATTTTTTTTAATTATCAGAGAAGATTTTTGCGGCAGTGATATATGTAAATTTGTAAATTTTTTTCAAAGCATAAAAATGTCAAAATTTTGTCAGGTAATTCATTGTGGTACTTCATTTTTAGAAAACAGCCCCTGTTTTAGGTTAGTTTGAGCAATCCAGGGGGGGGGGGCTCAAATTGTTCCAGAGCTAACCCCAAAAAATATTTGCCCTTCAGGCACTTTTTTAAGCCCCCCTGAACACTAAATCCTGAATACGCCTCTGTTTATATGACTATAGAAGTATGCAGATTTTTTTGTTTCTTCTTTAAATTTAAGTGATTCGCGTGTTTTGGCAATTTTTATTTCTATCTGAAAAATAAAAAATGTTAACACTTTTACATACAAGTAAATAAAAATTAGGTTTTAAAATCTAGGTAATTTTGGTATGAAAACTAGTAATTTTAGCTTAACAATAACTTTTATTTTATGTAGATTATTTTCTAATGTGTTAACAACACTAGTAATTATAATGTGACAGTGAAAATTCATTTTTCCCTGAATTTAATGTTTTTGTTGGTACCCTTATATATTTTCATAATTTAGTTTTTAGCTCAAATTTATATTGGGTGAAAGAAAAAGTTTATAATAATTTCACTAATTACTATTCACTAATTTCACGTTCACTAATTACTATTCACTAATTTCACGTTCACTAATTTTGAATTGTCTACACAAAATATAAGAAGTTAGAATATTTTTCACATTGTTTGTATGTATATAAAGGGCGTACATAGAAATAAATCTGGAGGGAGGGGGGGGGGGGAAAATTGTGCCCCCCGTTTAAACAAAAGCCCTCCTACGCCCCTGAGTCAATACAGTCCAATCAAGGGCGTTTACAAAGGGGGGGGCAAGGGGGCAGTGCCACCTAGACCTGTAAAGGGGTGGGGGCGTAGCCCTCCTAGAACTCAGAGCTTTCACACTTTTCAAATCTTAAACTCAAGAGTGAAGAACATAAAAAAATAGTTTGCTGTTCATTCAGTGCACTAAGAAGATTGTATACGTGGAGCAGAGCCACCATGACAGAAGTCTCAGAGTCTGAATAAAAGATCTATTTAGAATGCACATTCATTCTAATCTGATGGGCGCTATCAGGGATAGCGAAGTAAAACTATTATCTTTAAATACCAAGCCATAAAGGCTGGAGTTTGGAGGTAGTAAAAGACCATTTTTTAGATTTTTTTTTTAATTTGGATTTTTTTTACTTTATTCATTGCACCGCTGTTTTGTAATCTTTCTTTTTATTACAAACCAGCTGAAGTGCCAGGCGTTGCCCGTGGAATTTAAAAAATCGAATTAAAACAAAAAAATTATAATTTATTTAGCTTAATGTCATCCCCGAGGGTATCCATGAGTTTCCTCACTAAAATTCAGCCCATTTGATTCAGTCGTTTGGCCAGACATAGCAAACATATAAATAAACGAAAAACTTTATTATAAAGATTACAATTGTACTCCTACTTACTTTTCAAAACAGAAACTTTTGCAAGTCATAATTATTTTCTGGACCTTTGTCTTTTTTTTCATCTCATAGAATTTAAGTTTAAGTTGAGTTTTTCAGTTAAAAAAATGTCTTTTACTATCTCATAGTTTTAAAACTATAATTATTACTAACATAACAAACAGTATTTTAGGATGTCGATTTTTTAGAAACAATGCTTTTTCTGCTAGTTTTAATTGGACTATATAGTATGTGTACCTTTAAAGTATCTTATACTTATGCCTGGTATCCAAGAAGCTAAATGTTTTGAATTTACAGTTCAAATTCTCCCCCCCCCCCGGGAGCTTCTAGGAAGGGTGGCAAGATTTCGCCCCTCTAGATTTATTTCTGTATGCGCCCTTGAATCCAATTATCTTATACATGTTCTAGTATATGTCTTCTTTAAACAGAACTAAATATACAGAAAACAGAAAAAAAAATAACTAATATTTTTAAACTCTTCACTCTTTAGTTTCAGATTTGAAAGTGGTATTTTTTAATTTTTAACCCTAGATGATGTACAGTGATGACCAAAAAACTCTGGAATAGGAAGACAACTTTTAGACTCAAGTTAGGACTTTAAATAGTTACATGAGCATGAAGCACAGCAATTGTGCAGTGTAAACAGACCCACTTCACTTAACTAGTGTTTTATAAAACAAATGGCTGTGTAACAACATCAATTACACTTATGTATTTCTATAAAGTCGTCTATCTATTCCAGAGTTTTCTGGTTATCAGTGTATTCAAGGAAAATTGAAAATATGCAATTTTTTTAATGGGCCTCTGCAAAAATCTTTTTAAAATTGTCTAATCTGCTTCCTTTTATTTAAGGGTTTTTAAAGAGCTATAGAATGTTGAAACCCAATGACTGGAAGTAGGTCTAATTACAGATTTAGTCTGGTATAGGCAAAATAAGGCATTCAGGCGCAGAATGCCTAAGGACTCAGATAGTAGGTATAAATGTCCAGCTTTAAGCTTAAAGTGACCAGAGGTGGACCAAAGGGGGGGATGGGCCTACGGGCCCCTATACCTGAGCTCCTGGGGGGGTCGGCCTCCCTTATAGGAAATTCATAAATAGAAGCATCAAGGAATGAAAGATACAACGAAAATAGAATTGAATAAATGACCTGAATTGAAATACCTCGCCCAAGGTGGTTTAAATGATTATTTATTCTTTTTTAATTATTTATCTTTCTTTAAAAACCAGGAACACCTCTTCATTGTTTAACAAAAAATGGTCTTTAAAAAGAAACAAATCTTAATTAAGAGTCTGATGCAATTATTATTTTTGTGCCTGGGAAAAAATAGAAAATCCTTAATTAAAATATTTCATAGAAAGATGACATTCAGAGGCGTATTCAGGGGGGGGGCTATGGGGGCTAAGCCCCC